TCTCAACGTTTCAAGAGAAGGAAAAAGTTCAAATACCTCAAACGTTTCTGCATCTAATTTGTGTAACATTTTTTATTTCCTTTTTCTTCTTTTTTTATTAAATTAAAAATGACAGCTTTATATAATCAATTTCTATTTGATTAAGAATATAATTAGAAAAATTCCATAGCAATTATAAATTTTTTGGATGATTTACATACATATTACTTAATTCCTATGTATATACATATCGAATACCTAAACTTTAATTTTTTTTCGTTCATATCACCATTACTCGGGCATGAAAAGACGTGTTTTTTTTTTCTTAAAGTTAAAATTTCGGACTGTTTAATGTAATGTGAAAGATTTGGATGGTCTAAATAAAGTGGGGCTGGGAGGCATGAAAGACGCGTGAGAAAGTGGAACAAGCCCATCGAGGCTTCAGGGAATGGCTGAACCGGCCATTTGATTCAACATGTATTAGTCTAGCCAACAAGAAGTTGGGCCGGCCTGTCATCCACTCCCAAGGGACGGGAAATACTATTCCGATCGTCCCTATTTCCATGTTTTGTCATTTCTTTCTCCATCCTTTCTGGTTGTTGCCCAAAAGGGAAACCTCCCCCTTCCTATAATATCTATTAGTCATTATGTGTGTGTGTGTATGTTAATTTAGGGTTATGTTTGGTGTAGGTTATTTCACACTTTTGCAGAAGTCTTGTTTCCCTTGTGAGGGTTATATCTGAGGATCGGTGGCGCTTTTGCTGCATCTTGCTCCAATGTGATGATGTATTATCCTATCTTATATCTTCCTTCCTATCACTTCTTCTTTGACAACTTTAGTCGCCGATGATCCCTTCTCATCCCTATTATCCCTGCCGCCCTCTTTCCTACAGTGGGCTTGCTGCCCAACCCAACCAGCGGCTAACCAGCAGTCTGCCGCCTTCCTTGCTCCCTCCAGCACTCTAACAGTTTGTTGCACCCTTCTTAGTGGGTTGTCCACCTATCCAGGCTACAACAAGCATCCAACTACCCCATTCTGGCTGCTATACTTGTTGTCCTGCCCGTCCTACCACCATCCAACACCCTGCCCCTTCTTTCCGTACAACCTTACTTAATCTTGCCGTCCAGCACTCTACATATATTTTTTCAATTTAATTTTAATGAGTCAATTTCAAGCCGAACACTAACACGAGTATTTAAATCGAGCCAAATACGAACACACTGTTCACGAGCCGGTTTTGAACACGCGTCAATCAATTTCGAACATGAGCAATTTCGAACGAGCCGAACACGAGCCCAGTACATACATATCAATTAATTCCAATGTATCTACACATACACCTAAATTTCAATATTTACATATATGCCACTTAAGTATTTACGTATCCCACACAAAAACTTCTATGAGGCGGAGAAATCAAAACACTGTGGGGTGCGTGTGCGCCATATCCTTCTACTTAAAATGTATTTTCATTGATTGGCTTACTTAAAATTGAGGAGCATTTACATACATACCACCCAAACCTTATGCCGTTACGTATTCTAACACCTAAATTTTAGGTTTTACATTAATAACACCCAAATCATTCATATATAATAAAGTATATCACTATTTTAAAGTAAAATGCATGTTTTCTTGAATAGGTAAGGTGGTATGTAGGTAAAAGTTGATGTTTAGTGGTTAAATATGCACATATATAAGAATTAAGTGGTATTCATGTAAATCTTCCTAACATTAAATTAAATATGAGTTTATACATTTTTTTTTTTTTGCGCGCATTTTGTATGGCATTGTGGTCGATGGTGTAGTCTCGCATCGTGAGACCATGAGTTCGAATCGCTGTATTGCTATCTGGGGTCTCCTTGCCGAAAAATAAATCAAAAAGCCAGTTGAATTTCTTAACTTTTTTTTAAATGTTTTAAATGAAGAATACTTTTCGAAACGGGCATTTACATACGTACCACCCAATTTCTATTTATTTACGTATATAACACCTAAATTTTAATTTTTATATTCATACCACCCAGATATTTCACATTACATAAAAAATACCATCATTTTAACTTTTAAAAAGTGAAAAGACATTTTCATGAATAGATAAGGTGTCATTTTTGTAAACTTGAAGATTAGTTGTTGGATACGTAACTACATAAGAATTGAAAGGAATGTATGCCAATCATCCTTTTTTATATTTGCAGCAATAAATAAAAAGAATTTTGACTTTATAGAGCCATAATATCCTAATTTGGAGGGCTGTATCTAATGTTTATTTATTTATATAAATATCTACCAAATGTTGATTTTAGGCAAGGTTGTCCCTTTTTGTATCATTAAACTGCTTATTGAATGGACAATGATAAGTCGTATTCCCTTTATTGAATGAATCTTCTATTTATGCAAGAGATATTAAAATAGTAATATTACATTATTTATCCCTTTTTCCCGTACTAAGAAATTTATGATGTTTGACAAGTGTTGGCTTATCTTCGCCAGCTAAGCTTAGTTGGCTTCGGATCGCTAGAGTCAGCTCAATCAATTGAACTTGGTTTGTACGATTTGATTAACTGATCTAGCTTAGTTGAGTGCATCCAATCCCTAGTAAGCGTTAGCGCTGGCATGGAGTTCGGTCCACCCAACCCACGAACTCCCGCTCCCGCTCCCGCCTTCCTTCTGTTTTCACGAAACGACGCTTCCGATCGCGAAGGGTCACACCTCTTCACAAATAACCACTCCCTCTTTTCTTTTTTGCGAAGAGAAGCATCCCTTCACCAGAAACCGCTCCCGCCTCCTCTATTTCGGGAAGCGAAGCAACCCTTTGCTCCCTCCTCTT